TTCTGGAATCTTTGTGGTCCAGCTGAGGTTGAATACACCAAGCTGTAAATGGAAGGCTAAATCGGGGTATTGATACAAAAATTAGACGGCAAAATGGATTTTAAATATCACCAAACTAGATGGTGATAAAAAGCATTGAATAGTGTGTTCCAAAAATATTTACACCCAAGTAACCATTGCATTATCGTACTAATGTCGTCATATTTGCACCCTTTAATTTTGGGACTGATCCCTAGCAGGATAAATATTGCAATTTTAGAAGGAGCTGACCAAACTTTTGGCCACGCTGTTTTGTAAGCAGGGGGTGAGCGATTTCGAGGAACGCAGGATGTAAGCCAGATACGTTGATGGCAAAACCGTTTGGGTACGAATTTTTAAGATCCCGGATTTCTGATGTGGAGAATATTCTCGGGCTTTACGTTCCATCTCATCAACGCCATTTTTTCCCCTGACAAGAATGTGCTCTTTTTACACGGTGATTTGATCAATGATTTCTGCCCGTTTTACCTTTGAATCAAACCGTAACAGCCCATGTATTCGATTTGCATTAATTGTGGTCGTCCGTTTTATTTGCAACAGCTTTCAGCTTCATAACCATTGTCATCTTTTCGAGACTATCCGCCATCAGTGTTATGAACACCGTTAAGCAGTTCACCCCCATCATTGTCGACTTCATCAATCCAACCACCCTCATATACCACCCGCATCACACTCGTGCCGTCTTGACAAGGTGCGGACCATCACTTTGCGATCATTAACGCCCTCGTCACCCCCTCCTTCATTTGCCCGTCATGCCATTCCCCCATCATTCTCGAACTCCATTAACTACCTGCCTAATCGAATCTGAATAAGCACTTCACACTTCAAAGACTATGCCAGCTACTTGGGCCAGAACCCTCCCCCTTTTTTTTAATCGCTTGACGCAGCATCAATAATAGAGAGCCGGCCTGTTCTAGTCGGGCGTATCCCCAGCTTTCGTGTCACTCAAGCCCCCTGTTAAAATTACAAAGAAAAAAGCGGGGACCGGGGAAAGCGCGGTCAGTGACCGAGAGAGGGTAATAGAAAGGCCCGGGACCCGACCGGTGCGAGCACGGGTGACCGTCGATGAAACGCCAGAGATCTGTACCGCGGTGCAGGGGAAATTTTGCAGGAATCACTTGACCTCCGACCCTCAACCCGTGTCAATGACCGACACACATTCAGAAGACCAGAAAAGGAGGTGATGGCGGTCCCAAACGTAATGTTCGATACCATTTTGGGTAAAATATAGGCGAAGCTGATAAGTGACAGAGAGAAGGAACAAGAAGTGAGATGTATGGATGAAAAAATCCCCGGTAATTTATTGATATCGTCGGCCTGCTCGACAAAAGTATTGTTTGAACATAAATCGTTGGCCGCTTGACATTGGGGTCATTTGGACAATCATTTAAGCTAGGAATTTTTTAAGGCTCAAAAACAATACAATCCACTATATTTATCCAGCTTCAAGAATGTGAATTTGATCACTTCAAGCAAAGCCATGTCCCTTTTCCTAGTTAGTTTTATCCATGACCATTCGCAGATCTGGTGAGATTATTTCTGTCACCGTTAGGTCACTAACCATTTTCAAATAATAATAATCATTTCATCTGATTCAGATGACACCGTTGCCTTTCTAAAAATAAAAGGTTGCAAACACAGAGCCCATTGGGTGGCGGCCAAGGAAGGTATTTCTGGAAGTATATAGCCAGACACATAACCTAAATTTGTTGACAGTCCAGTGTTGTATATAATGAATAAGAAAAATAACCAAACTTGACAGGAATTAGAATTTCTATTGTCGTTCTGCTTCCGTCTTAAGGCATTAATAATATTATCTTTTTCGAATCGAAATGCTCGCCATTAGATATGCTTAGTTGTCTAAACCTTACCAGAATGAAAAGTGGCCAACAGCATGCCAAATTGTGTGAAATGTGGGATTTTTTTTTTACTATTCTCTGTTTACAAGACATCGATGTTAATGACCACACAATTGACAGGATCTGACAGAATACGAGACATTATATTCACCAGTTCAGGACATAGATTTCGCATGCAACTAAGGTGTAATTTATTGATTTGTATTCTCATTTGCGAATATTTGTCTGAACTGGCGCAGCCACTGCGTTCTGCGCTGTCCCGTTATTATAGCTCATCCCGCATGCGTCTCGACAGCCCGCTACGCACTCGACGGTGCACGACGCGGGCTTCACGCCATGAAACGCACACGACTTCCAGTGGGCGTAGAGTGACCACAGACAGACCCAAGAAGAGGAAAGTGTACTTTCGCAGCAGCGAACGCCTCAACCCAGGAGAGAGAGAGACACGAGATTTGGGGGCGGGCTGCACACCGTCCTCCCTGCCTGGCTCTCCAAGGAAGGGAGGAAGAAAGCTTTCGAAATTAGATGAGTGGCCGTCTCACTCCTTGTGGCGGGCCTTGATTCGGGCCGGTCGTTCCAGGGTTTTTCACGGACATTTAAAACGCCTACGTGAGGCGAATCCTCGCTGAGGGTGTCGGGGCAGTGTGCCGACTGTACGGTCAACGGTATGACAGCATTCGATAATGTTTATGTAGACAATCAGCCGAGGAATGAAGTGTGTATTTGAATAATGGTCAGACATTGCACGATGTATGCATATAAATAAAGATGATTGTCGTTAAAGGCGGGTCGTCGGTCTGCAGAGGGCGGGCCACGGGAAATGTGGAAGGGAAAAATCTTTCAAAGTCAATTTCATATCTCAAAACTAGACACCAAAAGGGCGCTACAACTTACCAATGCACGCCATCGTGGACTGAAGGCATCATTACACACGGCAACCATTTTGTGTCCAGCTCTCAGGAGCGTGGGGTGTTGCTGTTCAATCTCCATTTATTACTGTTTTGTAAATTCTACAGAGAGGTTTCCATGCGTCTGAAAACTCGGTCGAAAGTATGATTGAAATTTGGAGAGAGCAGTGTATCCACCTTTTTCTGTAAAAGTTGTAATGTCAAAATGTCCAGCGGATGCCATTCTACTAACTTTGACTGTTCTGACTTCCTTTGATAGCAATGTTTGATTTTTCCGACCACAAGAACAGAAAGTCTTATCTGAGGATGTATCGGAATAATGTGTCTCAGAAGGTATTACACTTTGTTCCATTTCGACAGGCATGAGTGTATTAATCGCACTACATTAAATAGGGAAACTCTTTTCAAACGTCTACTTTATTCCTACAAGTTGTGTACCGGGTTAAATAAAAAGTTGAAGTGGTTTTTGTTTTCATCTTGATTTCCTTTCATTTGAGGGGAGGGAACATTGTACTATAATACTAAACAGGTGTGTCGTTGGTTGTGCCATGACCATCTTATACTGCTGAACTTTGACCTTTGCTGTTATGGTCTCACGCCTCCAAAACAACTCATTTCCGATGGTAATTTTGAGTTTCAAGATGTGCTTTGCGTCTATGGGATATTCATTTTAGTAACGGGTTTTGCCCTTACACGGACGTGTAATTTTGAGTTTAACGGCTGGCATTGTAGAGTGAATTAGGGTGCACAGAGTGATCTCTACAATCTTTGAATTCACCCACCACTAGAACGCACTTTGACATCATAATTAAAACTGTCACTTTCCTTTGCAATCTGGGTTGGAATCACACGTGACATGAGAAGCTGGCATATTGGCGCTTTAAAGTGAGTGCTCTAAGTGCCTACAATGAGCCCTCAAGCGGCGACAAAGACAAGGCGCCGTGGCGCCGGATTCTGGGGCGATCAAGGATCGGAGGACTGGTGCATCTACGGGGCCCAGACGAGTGGGTATAGAATATAATGCTCTTATCAGGCTCAGATTTGTTTATGTGATGCACAACATCAGAAATATAGCGCCAATACCACTTAGGTTGCATCAACTGACAATGAACCGCCTTTAACCCAACTACCTCTAACACTTCTTGGCGCAAACGCCTTGAGTAAATGTTTCTCTTGTTCACCAATTCATAGCAACTGAAGTAGCTGAACACAGTGACAAGCACACCTAGCTACAGTTTCACATCTAGCTACAGTTTAGGAAGAATGTATAAGCATTTCAAGAAATCATGTCTGAAATCTGAGGTCGTATGTATGAGCTACGTGTGTAACAATAAACAGTCTTTATATTTTATGTGTGATTCCTTTATGGTTATTTTAACAGAGATATCATTTAACTCGTTAATAATGTGTATTTGACCAACCGTCCCAAAACTAGACTGAAGAATATTAATTAAGCATTTAATATAACACATGACAGTGCTGATTCCACAAGCAACAGGAGGTAGCGAGTCCGTAAATACTCTAGTGAAGTGCCAAATAGTTAGCTTTGGTCAGTTCTATTAATGACAAGTGGAAATAAATCGGACTAAATGGTTGAACGTCTCGGTGGTACACACTTCTACTAAGTAATAGATGGAGGCATACAGGAAGGTGTCCGTGAATATTATCAGACTAGCCTGTGATCGGTACCAAGACGTCCAAATCAAAATAAATTCCAAATTGCGAGGTACCACTTTACGTTGCCTGGGTGGATATCTGTAGCTATGTTCAGTTAAGCACGAAAATTCCGACACAAAGAAGGATATTTTTTCAACCATTCTGTAATTAGAATTAGCTTCAACGTATTGAGATCTACAACAATCTTCAAACGGGTTACCGTTATGCAGAACATAGAAAAACGCACAACCCAAAATATCATTCAGTTGCAACATGGAATATGTCTTTAAATGGTACTTTTTACACTACCGCTACGATGCGTGTGGGTAAAAACAAGGAAACTACACAATGTGACTATAGGCCACATATATGCACCGGGCGATTGGCGGAAGTTGTAACTCCAGTTCTTAAAGAGTTCCTCTGAAATACTTAACTATTTCATCCGCAAAAATCGACTATTTTCCATACTTTTTTCAGGGATTGTTTTCAACTACTTGCCAACTGTCTGCGAACGATAATATTTACAAACGTAGGTCATTCATGGCTCAGTGGATAGTGTAACACTTAACTCGTTGGCAACTCGATTCCCTCGGAATCGTCTCATGATAAGTCCTCTGAGTTGAACTCGAAAGCGCTCGTACATGAAGCAGTAAATGACCGGATTAACGAACATGTTGCAGGCCAGGACCCCAGTCGAAGCTTCATAGACCTGCTCGCCAAAGGTGTCACCGAAGAACACTGCATTGAGGTAGGTGAGTTCGGATGGTATCCAGCAGACAGCGAACATAACGGCGGCCAGCAGCACCGTCACCAGGACGTTCCTCTTCGCTCTGCTCAAAGAGTTCGGCTGGCCGCTGACAGGGTTCCCAGGTCTCATACTTAGGCTGGTCAGGATACGAGAGTAGGTGTAGACCATGATGGACATGGGTATCAGGTACTCGATTCCTACCACCACTGCGCCGAAGAGAACCTGTAGGCCCACCCCCATGGCCACGGGCTGGCACTCTCCCTGACGCGGCTCGAAGATGAATAGCAAGTGGGAGCCGTAGAGGAAGCCGATAAGCCAGGAGGCGGCCAGGGCAAACTTCAGCTTAGCCCTGGACCAGGTGTTGCGGTGCCTCACCGGGTAGCAGGTGGCCATGAACCGCTCCAAGGAGATGATGACCAGATTATAGGTGGACGTCACGTTGACGGACCAGAGCAAGAACGCCGAGTGCACAACGCGGCAGACCAGCTGGTCGTATTCGTTTCCTTCCCGGGAGACCACCACAGGAAACTCTCGAACTACAGTGAAGAGTAAAAACAATAGTCCGGCCACCGCGTCTATGACGGACTGGTGAAGGAGGAGACGGTTGGTAAAGGAGCTGAACACCCTTGGTCTGAGCAACATAACAGAAATGACCATGCTGTTACCGAGCACCGCTAAGCAGGCAATAATGGTGTTGATTGCATCAAGAAGGGCGTTGTTTACGGCATCATTGACACCAGGATCCTGCTCTGGCATGGCATCAGACGTGTTGTACGAGGCCATTGGAGACTTCTAGTTGGATTGGACAGATTCAATCTATCTCTCCTGTACCGTTACATACATTTATATACTGGTATCAAATTGAACAGAAAAAAAAACCAAAACAAAACAAAACAAATCCAAAACTCGCCAATACGATTCAGCCAGAGAATTCCATTGAGAGGTTTGAGAGTTGTTCTTTAGGGCATTCGAAACTCAACGAAATTTCTGTTTGTTTTTCTCTATGACATTGTCGTGTTTTTCTCCTTCCTGAGAGTGAACAAACACGATACTTTTGAAGCAGCATATGGGATATAATTAGGCGGTTGTTTTCGATCGCTACCAGTCTCTTTTTCCCCCTTTCAAGTGTCTGCAGGATTCATTTGCTGTTCCTTCCAAAAGGTGAATGGATCGAAGGTCGATAATTTGCAGTGTGCCTGTTTTCTGTGTACACAACGTAAACGAAGAGGGAAATGTTGCTGCCCAAAACGTCCCCGGAGTTACGAGATATTTACAATGGGAGCCTTGGGCTGAAAACCAATCAACATTATAAGTGTCGTATTGTGCTTTAGAAGTCCTGGCAAAAGACACAGACGTCAAGAGATACCGCGCTGTGTTTTTCCCTGTAGTAATACACAAAGAGAAGTAGCGATCGATTATTTAATCAAGAGATACTAGTGTGTTATTACAGTGATGAGGCACAAAATGACGGCGTGGTAGGGGACTTCGAAATGCTCATTCCCTGCATTCATAGACAGATTTATTATCGATTTTGTAGGCGCTTCAACTTTTTGGGCAGTTCCTTCCTCACATTTCTGTTTCTTGATTATATCCAGATATTCCATATTTCTAGAGGACAGCTTGCAAGTCTACTGTCCTCCACCATTATTTCATTTGATTCACGTCTTGGCTGTACTCTATGGACAGACGACGCCGATTAAACAAGCGCACAGCATGCTGGGTAGAAGTCAAAAGCGGAGAAAGAGATTGAAAAATTCTCCTTTTTGCTTCAAGTTCCTTGAAGGTGGTATATTAAGAATCATAGCTCAAGCATGCACGTACGTATATGAATGACAATTAAATGCCGGACCCGCAGAAAGGGGTTACATATTAGGCCTACTTCAAGTGATCACGTGACCATGTTGCTTGTTTACAGTCATGCGCTGTATAAATTTCATTTTGTGCGTACACTTCAAATAAGGACCTCTCATGTTACAGCGTTTGCCTAATACCATGGCTGCTTGTACAAGAAAACAGATAGATCATCAGTTAATACTGACGTTCTTTGTATGGCATTCACAACACTCTTAAGACGGTACTCTGTGTAAGGCGCTCTTTAGCGTCAGTGTCGAATATACATTCGCATAATTTTGTCTGCTAACTTTGTCTTATTTCATCTTATGTCATTTTCTGGCCAGGCAATTATCTCTGAACCTTGACCCTCCATCGCTAGACCAATGACCGCTCGTTATGGTGAAGCCCCATGCATGGCCACCGAAAGGCAGGACGCAGCCGCATTCCGCGTAGTCAGAGGGGGAATTGTTATACTTAACATTTTTTATAATCACGGAGGCTTTTTTTTGCTGCGTCTTAGTCATTGTGGGCAAAATATAGCTCTCCATAAATAAAACATTAAACAAAAATGTTAGAAAATCTCACAAAGGAATCCAAAGACTAAACTAATGAAACACATAAAAATGCTTTCCTCTGTGACACCAATGATGCAAAAGTATACCAAAAAGTTGTTGCCAACTGCGGATGGGCTTTAAATGTCAGCGAACTTTGGCCACCCGTATGAAATGTTGTCCACTGTTGGTAAACAGAGTAAAGATAAGTGTGCTTTAGATTGTGATGGGCGTCTTTAACTCATAATAATTCGGCGGTCTTATTACAGATGTAAAATCCATCTTCCCCTCTAAGTGATAGTATACCAGCGGAAAATTTTTGTCAGGTTTTTTTTTCTCTAAGCTATCCATTTTAGGTTATGTTTTCACTCTGTGTTGAAAAAAATGACTTACGCTTAGGAGGCCCATCGGAGAAAATATTGCACACGCAGAGGGTGATGTTATACACATATCAGCATTCACATCTCACTGTCGATATTAACCGAACTTACACGTCAGCCTTGTTCGTTTCCCGTCCACCACGACAATCCCCCAAAACATCACCGAAGCACCTAGGCCTTCATAAGCACCCACACATTCTAATGAGTGCAATATAGACACCAGCGTGCGTTCAGCAGACATCACCGCACAATCTTCTTCGGCCTTCGTCGACCTGCTGACCGATTTCGCGCTTCGCGCATTTCAAGAAGCAGGCTGATTTTTGTGTGCCTCCTAGTTTTACAGTGTTACACCGTCATACATGAGGGGGAGACATTTTTTTCGCATTTAGAAAAAGTCATTTTGTTAATTAGGATTTTAATGTCAATTCCAAAAAGTGTTTATAATCGGGTAGCAATGCTCCTTTTCAATTTTTTTTTTCTTTCTTAACATACTGAGGTTAAATATTTCTGTTATGTTCAGGTTATACTACCTGATGACGGTGGATAAAAAACACAGACAGAAATAAAACTTTCAAGTAGCAAACTTACAAAAAAAGACAACGCTCGTTAACTGAATACCGTTTCTCATCCTCAGTGGCACACTCTGTGCACTTCAAGCAAATTCAAGTCATTATACGAATTATCAAAGAATCAATTCCTTCTCATATCAGGGCTTACCCTTTGTTTTAACTGCTTTGCGTGTTTTTGTGTTCGCTTTTGAGCGTCAGTTTTGCTGCACACCCCGTGCTGAGTATCGAATTCTGTTTACCGTTTTGCTCTTACAACAAATTCTAAGTAAGCAAAGAAATCAAAGAGGCTAAGGTTTTGTACCAAATCGCAAAAACTTAACAAGAATTCCAGTATTTTGCTTGTTCGCCTTACCTCTCTTTTGCAGTCTTGTTATATTTGGCGTTTTGGTCGAAATTATTATGTGTGGCATTTAGTATTCAGGTTAACAGACCTCTGTCTGTAAATGGAGTCTCTGTGTTTGAATCTGTGTGATCTAGAAGCAGTTAAACATTCGCTTCAGTCAATGGTGCAGGTTCTAAATAGCGCCGGAATGGTTGCTGTTCAGTGTAAAATTTAAAATGGACCGGGCGATGCACGCGGGCCGAATATAAAACAATTGTTTATGCGCGGGAAAAACAAGTGTCGGCCGCTCTCGATACATTTATTCGAGTGAAGCGAGGCGGCAGAAATCGGCTAAGTGTTGTAAAGTAGCAAGCACTCAGCCCGCGGCGGGCCAGGCCGACCACTCGGCCCCGGAATACCACGCGAATTCTGATGAACTTTTTACGGGGAAAAAAACGCGTAGGCCTACTACATATACACGCAACTGCACCCCGCTTTCGTGTTCCCAATCAAAACGACAAAAAGCAGCGCGTCGTAACTATTGATTCGGCCGTTGCAAACTGGATTGGATCTTCAACAGCTGACCTATTTCGGTCGTGAATATGGCAAGCTGCTGTTTTTTAAATGCTTCAGATCGGGCTGGTTGAAATGGCTTGGAATTTACCGATCGAAACAACAAGGTGCGTATGCAAAGATATTCTTACATCAATGAACTCTGCACGCCAATGCATAGTAAGCGTGCTTCGGCATGGTATAGTTCTTTTCTTGTTGAGAAGAGCTTAATAAAGAAAATTTAGGAATATCACGCAGCACGACAGCAGTGACGATAAAATTATACATTTCTAATTATATACTTATATGAAATTTGTATTGTAAGGTTATCGTTTGGTTCGTGTCTCATTACAGGAGATCCTTTTTGTTGGGCGAGTATTTTCGGTTCTAACAAGATGACTTTATATTATAGGCAGTGGAGCCTCCCTAACCTTTTTGGAAATGTCCTCACCAACTCCGAAATTCTACATTCTACGGCGCATTATACCTGCGCACGTACATTATTGTATCGGTATCGACCCCCTCCCATAATGGGCAAAGACCGCGGTATCTGACCTTGGCGTGCATGACTTTGGTCATTGAATTTGCCACTTGTTTATACCATCCCCGTTATTCCTAATTTCCTGAACTGATCTAGATGAAGCCTGAAACCGGCAACCCGTACCACCTGCGTGACTCGACTATCCTCCATGCTGCGCTTGTTTCAATTAGGCCCGAATTACACAATTTGTGCTCATATCGGATCAATGCGACAAACAGCCCGTGAGGGAGCGAGGGAAGACGGCAGCACACAGCGACCGTTCCACCCTATACCCATATCGGAAGGTTAAATTGAGTCACTGGGAATGCTTGACTGATCGCCTAACGTCTGTCAAATTCAGACATATGCGGATAAGCTTGTCCGATATCGTTGATTAGAAATGTTCCATTTTTTGCCTTTTCAAGAGGGGAAGCACCCGTGAGTGACAGCCGTTAGACGTTCCGGTGTTCGCCCTCGGGACCCTTGGGCCGATGTCAGGCAAGCTGTCTATCGAGCTTCTTTCAGGTGCAGGAGAAAAAAACCCTGAGGTTGAGCAGATGTCCCAGTTTGAGACACTTACCCTTTCAATACCTCCCAGGACAGAGATGGAACAGAACACGTCCATACTCACAAGCACGTAGGCCTATGTTCAATTGCCTCCCTTACACACCACTGCATCCCGCTATTACAGTGTCAACGAGTTCCATAATAAACCTTCTAGTTTTAACTTATAATCCAGTTGTTTTAATGTCCCGATCTACTACTACGTCCACTTTGCTTTCAAAGTCTCCATCCCGTGGCATTCTATCACTGGGTAACCCCCCCCACGACACATATTAGGCCACATTATCCTTTCTCCCTTAAAATATCAATTTTTCTTCCTTCTGTAGATTTTTCAAAATTTCAAACTTTCTAAAAGTAAGGTCATCCAGAAATCACACATACAAAATTTTCCGTCTGTTGACTGAAGTGCATCTGGTCCGGTAAAACTCTCTCAGTCAGTTTTATTGTTGAGGTCGTTTTGGGGTGTCTTTATAACATCATTTCAACAAGCAG